TAGTGAGGCTGAGGGTGTGGGGAGTAGTGAGGCTGAGGGTGGTGTGGGGGGTAGTGAGGCTGGGGGTGGTGTGGAGGGTAGTGAGGCTGAGGGTGTGGGGGGTAGTGAGGTCAGAGAGATCAGATGAGTCCTTCAGGACTGTAGTGGACACTGAATACACTAGCTCAGCTATCAATTTCCCTATCAAATCAGCATCAGCTACACTGACCCTCCTCTCATTAAGAATGCAGCTTCACAATGAATGTAAAATGGATGCTGTCCAGGAGGTGGGAGGGTCTGGGAGGGAGGATCTGCTGCTGATTGGCTGGAATGTGTCTGCTGACTGTGAGGTACAGGGTCAAAGTTTACTCAATGATGACGAATAGGGGGCGGACCGAACAGCGCATATGTTCACCATCCGTGGCGAACGCGAACAAGCGATGTTCGTCAGGAACTATTTGCCAGCGAACCGTCCGGGACATCACTAATTACTAGATGATACAAGCACCTTATGGTATCTTTCAGCAAGTGTTGTTTTTAAAATGATAGTGCTTGGTGCACAAGGCATATTTAAATACACTTTTGAAACAGTCAATACATGTTTATCTAGACTGTAAGCTTGTTTGAGCAGGGTCATCATCTACCTATTGTTCCTGTGTCACTATGTAATTGTCTCATGTATTGTAAATCCTCGCAATCCCTCTCCCCCCCCTCCCTTTATAATATTGTAAAGCACTGTGGAATTAGTTGGTCCTATATAAATACCAATAAAAATAATAATTACAATATGTTTCTATTCAAAGATGTAATAATTAACCTATGTACTTTTACATTTTGACTGGAAAGTCCATTTAAGTCTGCACCTTGTTCAATTTAGTCTGTATTGACTTTAATAATATTATGTGCGATGCAGTACTCCTACCACAGGTTGCTGTGTGTCAGGATCGACACAGGGATCCAATACACAGAATGCAAAATATAGAAGAACGTATACCGCGCCTTAGAATGGCCAGACTAATATCTGAAAGAACAAAGAATAGTCAGGGACAAGCCGAGATTGAGGGAGCCAGAAAACAGGTAAGCGAATTAACAAGTTGAGTCAAAGGGAATGAGAATACAGAATAGTCAAAATCAGAGCCAAGTCAAATACAAGGAAACCAAACCAGAGTAAGCACTATAGGAAAAGACAAGCTAGAACCACGACAGGGCAATGATTCATTGCATTGAGTACTTTTTATAGGTTGGCTTTTTAAGTGATGACCACGCCCCCAAAACATCCTAATTCTAAAGTTTCGGCAGGCCGCAACGTCAGGATGCCGGCGTGTATGCGCCGCTTCATAAAAAGGGGTGGAGCGACCGCGGCCAGCGTCTGAACGGCTGAGATGAGAGGAGAGAATGGAAGACGTTACCCGATCATGTGGGAGAAGACCCACTGGCTGGATTCCTGCCAGGGCAGAAATAACAGGTACCCTGTGGCTTTTGATTCACTCTGTTGTCAGCAGGTGGATTTTTTTTCTGTGTTTTTCTTTATCTGTGGCCTTCTGTTACATTGAATGTTAGCTGTGTGTAGTCAGGTAAGGTAAAAAAAAAAAAAACATGAGATTTGAAATATATAACACCAGGGAGGGTATGCTGCAAGAAGTGCTGAATCAAGCCATTTCAATAGTGTCATTCAATATGAATTGTATATACAGTATATTCTTTTCTATTGAGGTTATTATTTCACTGTCAAATTTCAGACTGTGATAGACTGTGCCATCTGACGGGCTTTAATTTAAGGATTGTGGTCTAGTACTCCTCATCATTTGAAAGATCACTAATTACTTGTTGAAATAAAAAATAAAGAATACCGGTAAGAGCACACTAGTTGTGTACATAAAATAACATATGTCTGTCTTGGCTCGGGACTTGATTTGGGACTTACTTTTGACTTGCAAAACAATTATTTGGTTCCATCTCTGATATTTTTATTATAAGTGTAAGGGATAAAGTAATTGTGTCTTTAACTTTGTTTTCTTTGTTTACTTGAGCAATAAATTTTGGCCAATTGAGATTCGTCTGAATTGGGAGCTATTGGCTGTTTGGACAAATTCAGTGTCTATGAAAGTTTCATGACTTACAGTCAATCAGACAATCAGTCCTGTTACTTACTTGTTTTTTTAACTCAGTGAGGTTAAACTCAAGTGGCAGGCAATAGCTCAGAGTACCTGCCTGGCAAAGAGTTCTCAACTAGCTGCATTGGAAAGTCTGTGACTGAACAACCACAGAAAGTATGTGCTGGGTTAAAGATCTGCAGATTTTTCAAGATATTTTTAGATATACCGCCAATGTCAAAAAAATGCATAATTAAAGGTACGCATGTTTTCATTGGTAGTATATTTACTAAACAGTGATTTTACATTATGTTGTATTTGGGCTGTGGAGAGGCCTTTTTTTTTATATGACCATCGGTACATTGTAACATGTTGGCTAAGTGTATATATACATATATATATATATATATATATATATATATATATATATATATTTTTATATGAAAGTCAAGTTAATGAAGAAAAATAACAACATTAATACCGGTGCGCTATAACAAATAATAGCTACATAATTTCTGTTTTTGACAATACCCATTATAGAGAAATAATATAGAGACTCCTTATAAACATGGTGGAATGTACCATTTGAATTATAAACTCTAAAAAAAATGTTTTATTTCTGTTTTGTTAACAGGTTTATTTTTAATCCGAGCTTAAATATTCAAGTAGCAATAAGTTTATTTTTTGGCTAGAAAATTTTTGTAGAGTGTATTATTTTGCTAGCAGTTTCCTAAAGAGACAGTTGCTCATAGGCATTGTTTAAACACATCATCCCTTAGAAGCCTAATTACTTATAGTGATTTATTCACTGTGTGTAGCTGTATCATCCATCACTCACCAAATTACTTAGAACACTAATTTTTTTCACTGCCTTCACGTTCACGTTCGGATCTGTACCCGATGATATATTTTAGAGTTCCGATATGTCATTTTTAGCCAGTCACATTTAAATTGTGTTTACTATATAAAATAGGTGTTATTTAAGTGGTGTTGGTTCCTTGGCACAGTTTCTTTTAGCCTAATCTACTAAATGTGATTTATTAAGTGCCTTTAAATTACGTCGCTAGTTGTAAGCAGTCCAATATATTACAGTTATTAATGTTATTTGCTATGCTCAATTAGTCATATTTAAATTCTGCTTTTATATTTTAAAAAATAGGTGTTACTAGAAGGGTAATTTCGCCACTTAAGCATATCATCCTTCCTCAGTCTAACCTTATATGTGTGATTTATTGACCGCAATTAGGGTACATGGTCATCTGAAACTAGTCCAAAATTGTATAGTCATTAATGTGGTATGTCATCTTTAATTAGTTATATTTATATTTTAAAAGGAAGAAATAGCTGTTTAGGGGGTGCAGCTGATTAGTCCTGTCATTATCACCAGTGATATCCATCATAGTTGTAATTTATTCACTGTACTTAACCAAATCTTTCTTTGCCAACCTACTTACGTACTGTGATTTCTACAATGCATTTGGGTTACATTCATGGCTGGTCCTGTGTTTCTTGATGCCATAGGCCAGACATCTCAAACTCTAGCTTCCCAGATGTTAATAGTCTACAACTCACAGAATTCTTGGAATACAATAGATGGCTAGAGAATCAAGGGTTGCTGTAATTTCTTAACATCTGGGGACAAGAGTTTGAGATGTCTGGCCTAGGTGTACTAGGTCCACCACCAAAACTACATTGTGAAGTCAGTTGCATAATAAAATTATGATAATAGTAAATTCCCATAATGGGGCACTCTATACACCATGAGTACTACAGTTCATTGTAGTAGCTACAATGCAAATATTTTTGACCCTTTTCAACCAGTTTTTGTCAAATATTTTTAGAGCTGTTTAACCAAAACAGGGACTCTCATAGCACCTAAAATAAGCATCCTGGTAATGGTGTGGCTAATACTGAAGTGAACTGCTGCATTACCCATCCAACCTTGGGAGGCAATG